TCTAGGGCAGAATTTCCACTCTCATTTTGAATTTCCTGTCTTTGGACGATGCCTTCTATTTCAGACTAAGAATGTCTTAGAATCTGATATTAATAATCTTGTGGGGTTTTAAATTAAAAAACCAAAAAACCAAAAAAACAAAAAAACAAATGAGCCGCCCAACGAAATATGCATTGCTTCTGTAATTAAAAACAACCAGCTCTCAAATTAGCATCTATGTAGGATAGGTCATCTCCTCTACATCAGTTTAAAAGGCTGAAACTGATATTCAACTGATATATTGAAAACRTATTTTAAGAGTGTATTTTTTGCCCTGTCAAATAAGGAGCACAAGCAAGATCCTAATCACTCCAATCATACAGCTACTGTCTGCAAGTCACTGATTTGCAGAATTTTTATTACCTGCAAAAAATTAGGACAATTTTTATGACTAATTGTTTTCATTTACATGGTTAAATCACTTTATTATTTGACTGTAGTTTCCATCTAGGGGTATTATTAAACCACTTGTATCTTAACCTAATAATTTTATTCTTAGTGATCAGAGAAGGTGAGATTACTGATGGGCAACAAATCAGTGGAAGCTTGCAATTTCTGTCATACTCAGGTATTCCTGGTGATTACCCTTCAACCTTTCTCCATTTCACACTAATTTGTGAAGAGGTCCATGAGGCTGTAGAATTCTGCAGAACAATCTTGAGCCACTTGTAATTCCTCCTGGCATTGTTAAGATTAACCTGATCAATACAATATTTTCCTTTGGCATTTTCTTCCTCAATMTGGTTTTTGCCTGACACCAAGCTTCTTTTTTGGCTGCAAGACATTAAAATAGATACTTTACAGGAAAATGAGAACAGTTCATCCCAGCCCCCAACCCTGCCTCATTCCCATACATGTCTTATTCAGGAATACCAACAGGCAAGCAAAGGCAGATTACAGAAATAAGTAAAGGTGAATGACTGGATGCTGGCTAGGGATTAATGAAAAAAAAAGCCCAGCCAAAGAGAAGGGAAAATCCAAATTAATTACTTTAAACTGACAGCTTTAGTGGCATTGGCTTCTCTGCTTTTCACTTGATTTCAATTCTTCCTCTTCATGCTTCATTTCCCATCATTTCCCACGTGTTCTCTTGCTTGTGCTGTCTGTTGCTCTCTCCAGCTGCTCCCTGACTACTGTAACTTCCAGCATTTTTCTGGTTTTGCAGCAGATTGTTCCATAACCACATACTCCTTATATATTTTATTATTCTGTCCTCCTCTGATATTTTTTTCCTCCTCCTTGTGAGCACAAGTTCACTTCGTGTTCCTGGTGAGCAGCATCCCAAATGGTTTGGTACCCATGSCCTATCAAATCTACTTCTCAAACAAAAACACTCCTTTAAAATTTAGGAGCATGGTATTGTCAACAAGAGCAGAAGGATCTCATACAGTCTGTTTACCTTTGCATGCCAACAGGATGGGATCCATTAAACAT